GCCTCAGCATTTCTCCCCAAGGTCAGAGCAAGGCAAAGGCGCCCATTCCTTGTTGGGAATTGCATTCCAAGTTCTAAGAAAAGAAAACAGCACAAGAAAGGGAAGAGCGACAGATGCTAGGAGAAGCAAGAAAAGGCCACAAGGGCGCATCTCAGATGGGGTTCCTGTCTTGAGGCATCACATGGCTGTTCACCCGTCACAGAATACCTGCCCATCTGTCTGCAGCATGGTTGACTGCTTCCCTGGTGGCTTTACTCTAATTCTGAGTCTAGTAAATTCTCCATTTTGGCTATTAAGACTTTTCAAATCCAGCATTTCCAGTTGTTTTCATCCATTGCTGTTGGCTGTGTGCCACTCCAAAGCTAATACTGAGGGGATGAGCTGTTGGGAAAAGAATCAGTTTTATTCAAGGTCAGAACCCTAGGAAAGGGGGAAGAAACTTCAGGCCCAGGAACAGGCGTTTATAGGGAGGGAAGGGGGCTTAAGGGGCAGGGCGTAGAAGCCTCTCAGTATCTGCTAGGCTCTTCTTCATCCCCGTGACATCTCTGCTTACTCTTCTTTGCTCAGGTCATCATCGTCAGCATTGACTGTCTGGACCAGTTCCTGTAATTCCTTAGACAAACACTGTTTTTCTCCAAGTTAAAACTCGTGGCAGTTTACATGCTTTGTATCAGTCCCTGCCCAGAACTAAAGAAATAAGGAGGGGCATGGTGTTACCTGCACACCACTAGATGTTGTGGGCTCTGTAACTCCAAAGAAAGAGTTAATGTTTTAGTCATTTAGGTGTGACTTTTCTTTAGAATTTAGAATGCTGGTCAAGGGAGAGAACATGACTCTGCAAAGGGCAATTCCCAGAGGAATGACCACTGTCACACTGTCTCTCTTCTTTTATTTTAATCAACTAGTTGACAAAGCCTCTTTTTGTAGTCCAGGCTAACCTGGAGCTTGCTTCATAGCTCAGTTGGCCTTGAACTTGGAAACTGTGTGCCTCAGGCTCAAGGACGAAAGCCATGCACAACCATGTGTAGTCACCATCTCCTTAGGGGTAGTCTCTGTTTGATTAGACATTTTCATTGTTAACTGCCCTGGTTTGGGTTGTATGTATGTATGTGTGTGGAAACCTGGGTATTCAATTCAAGTAGTTAATTTGCTTGAGACAGAACCTCCTCACACAACCTGGGCTAGCTTTGAACTCTGATCCTCCTGCTTTCCACCACCTAAGTGATGGGATCATGGGCAAATAACACCATGAGTGTCTCTGAAAACTGGTTATTTTATTGTATTAATTGCGACCTCTTCTGGTGGCTGCTGTGGTTTGGGTATTTGCTGAACTTAATGTATGAAGCCTCCTTCACTGTTTTCATCTCTTGTCCTAACTGCTCAGGCAGCACTTCTAGGTTGACAAGTTACCAGTTGAAAGTTGTGCTGAGTCCCCTAGGTAGTCAGATTTTAACAGCTGCTGTTGTGGTTGAGTGAAGTTTTGGGGTTTTTTGGGTGAGGGCTGTGCGATATTAATACTTACCCAGAAATAGATTTGGTTTTTTTTCTGTTTGTTTGGTTTTTTTTTTTTTTTTCCCTTGCTTTTTTCAAGACAGGGTTTCTTTGTGGAACAGCTCTGGCTGCCCTAGAACTTACTTTGTAAACTAGGCTGGCCTCAAACTCACAAAGATCCACCTGCCTCTGCCTCCCAAGTGCTGGGATTACAGATGTGTGCCACTGCCGCCAGGCAGAGAGAGGTTTTCCTTTTGGATCACTCCTGAGAGGGCCTAATTATGAGTTTATTGTCTTCCACACTGCTGAGGGTGACCAAGCTGTATATTTAATGATAGACATGGCATAATAAAACTCATTCTTTGTAAACTAATTTATAAAATCAGTTCTTGGGGTCCATGAGATAGCCCAGTGGGTAAAGACCCTTGCTGCCAAACTTGACAACCTAAGTTTGACCCTTGGGGTCCACATGGTGGAAGGAGAGAAGTGACTCTCGAAAGTTGTCCTCTGATTCATGAGCACAGGAGCGATGGCACACATGTGCAGGGCACACAAATGCATGTATATGCACACACTAAATACATAAATAAATAATTTAGAAATGAAATCCACCCCTGCTTGATGGCTTTTGCCCATGAATCAGAGTAGCTTCCCTTGTTTCTCAGCAGTGATGTTGAAGCCCTTTGCCTACCTCATGTTTCTTCCCTGTGTTGACAGGCATATCTTCCCCATAGGAACATTGCCAGGCCTGCCCAGTGTCTTGCTCTGTTTGCTCATGTATGGGCACAAGTCTAGAGCTGTTACCAGCCCTTGCATCTGCAGCAGTGACTGACCCAAGAGGGCTCTTCCCTGCTGCTGCATTCCACTTTGGTCCACACCTCGCTTTCCTTGCTTTTCATGAAGCTGCCCGCTGTTGCTCAGAATTCCCTTAGTCTCAGGGTCCTCTGCTCTCCTTTCCTTATAGAGCTGCCCCCTCAGGCAGAGCTGTGGACTTCACTCCTCATGTCTGCTCTTGGGCAGAGTCCTTGTGTCACTGTACCTGCAGATCAGAGTGGAAGCCCTCTTTTCCCAAAGTGACATTCTACTCCTTTAGAGGACACTGGGTGAGGGGGTTAGCAGCCCTTCACCTTTCTGCCTCTGTCTTCTTGGCATGACACTTCTCCCCGGGAGCAGTTTGGACTGGTGGTGATCAGCACCCAGTGTCTCAGGCTGCCTGGTTTAAATAGGAGTCTCTGTGTAGGGAAGGGAGTTTGTCTTGTTGCTTCTCTGGAATAGAGCTTCTGCCTCATGGGCTGAGGTGGATGATGAGTACCAGCAGCCTGCCCTTCCTCAGCCTGGGGTTGCAGGGCCCCGTCTTTGGCTGTGCACAGAAGAGCCGGCAGGAGGGATGATGGTCAGTTTCTTGTATGTATTCCATCATTTGTGGAACCCCCTGAGCACTCTCCAGAGTTAAATGATTTTGAAAATAGCTTTGCTAGTTGAAAAGCCAGTCTTCTGGGAAGAGGGTCCACTCCCAGAGTTCCTTATTCCCCTCGTCAGGAGGATCCACCCCTTCCCAGCTGTTAGTCACAGGTTTTTGAAACACATGCATGTACACACTTGGTGACATGAGTTCCATCCCCGGGACTCACGCGGTGAAACCAGAGAACTGATTTCTGTAAGTTGTCTAATGAACCCCACTCATGTGCCATGACATCTGTGTGCATGCTCACACACATGTAATAAACAAAATGATACTTTGTGTATGTGCATACACATGTATACATTTTGACACAGTGTCTCCTAACATACCCATGCTTGCCTTGAACTTGCCTTTTCCTGACTCAGCCCCACAAGTGCTGGGAATTCAGGTGTGCCAGGAGACTCAGTTCTGAATCTTCTTTGTAGAGAGGCAAAGATGTATTCATCTCCAAATATGACTTCCTCAAGTATGCTAATGTCTATGCTAATAAAGTAACTTACACTTTGTAGTAATGCTCACTAGAAATGGTAAGTCTGGAATGCAGCACTGTGTTCCGGGATATGGACCAGGATTTGACTTTGAAGTCTGGCTTCCCTGCTACTTTTTATTTGCCTTGTTCAGATGGAATTTGCCCAGGTGCTATGACTTCAGGCCCTCATTAGTATAGATGGCCTTGGAGACAGGCTCTGCCAGTGTGCCCATTTGAAAACTAGAAGGATGCTTTGCCAATTGTTGCTGGCTGTTTCTCCTTATAGCCTCCTCACAAAAAGCATCATTTCCTCCCAGTTAGAAGAAATCAGGCCCAATATGGCACTGTAGCTGAGCTGGCCCACTCATCTACCATGCATTAAGTGCCTTCTCTGTGTTGGATAACTTGCACGTGTTCTTTGGATTACCTGTAGACGTGTCCTAACTAGAGCCATCATTACTATACTGACAGTACCCTAAATTACTTCATTTAAGCCAGTTTTCTCTTTGAGCCAAATTATACCAAATAGCCATTCCTTTTGAGAAGAAACACTCTATAGAAGATGCTATGGGTCCTGTGGTATGAAAGGAATTATTTGAAAGAAAGCCAGTGCATCTGAGAAGCTTGGTGGTAAAGGAGATGAGGACTGGCTGTCAGTGGAAATGAGGCCAAAGAGTGGACACCTGGAGGAAGACAGGACCCCAAAAGGCCTCAAGGACCTCTTTAATCTTCTCTGTACTGTACACTGTGGTTCTAGACAAAATAATCATACCATTTTTTGCTTTGTATTTTCTCTGACTTTAATTGGAAAGTAATGACTTTTCTCTCCTGTACACAAGGCTATGGAGGAAAAAATAATGTAAATTGTGACCAAGAATTAGCCCAGCTAGTCAAAGCTATTCATGGCAGGGAGTTTCCCCCTTCCTCCCTCTCTTCCTCCCTCCCTTTCTCCCTCCCTCTCCCCCTCCTTCCCTGCCCTTCTTCTCCCCCTCCTTCCCTCCCCCATTTTTAATCCTCTCTCCTTCCCTTCCTCCCTTCCTTCCTCCCTTCCTTCCTCCCTTCCTCCCTCAGGTCTCATTGTGTTTCTCAGGTTAGCCTTGAAATCCTGGACTCATGATGGTCCAGCCTCAGCCTCAGTAGCTGGGACATGAGCTGCAATGTCTGGCTTGTAAACTGGCCTGCAGTGACAGCTCGGGCACAGAGTCAAAGGGCAGAGCACACACTGTGCTCTAGTCATAGGTGGGAACCTTTCTGTTGCCCTGTCCTAGTGAAAATACAGAGCCCATAGCCCAGTATTATCTTAGGTATTTGCTTCAGACTTGTCTTTCCAGTTTTTCCAGGTATTTCCCAAACAAAAACTAAGACCCCCAGCTTTCTTTCTTGCTGTCTCACAGTGAAATGGCCAAACGGTGTGAAGAGTGCTGGAAGAGGGAATCGGATGTGTGGAATAGCTAACAACACACTTGATACTGCATTTTAAGTCATCATCTTTATTATCCAGTTAAGACACACAAGGTAAATAGTGCATTCTAACCTGGAGCCCTGATCCCAGGCTTCTGTTTTGTTTTGTTTTCTTAGCAGCTAATCAACTTGTAAAACATGAAGGAGTAAAAACAAGGACATAATCAGAAAAGTATTCATTGGAAAGTCGCTGGGCATGACTAAAATAATAAAATGAACTGGCCCTTTCACAGAGCTCAGGTACTCATCCTAATCCCCCAGCCAGGCATGAACTGTAGTTCCAGCTCTGTGGTGGTGCGGGGGAATGTGGCCATCCTGGGTTACACAGCTTCCACATTTCATACGGTGGCATAAAAATATTTTTCAGCTTATTGGGAAATACAAATTCATTGTTAAAAAATAATCAGAGGTATAGGGGATCATATTTTTGGCATGTTACCAGTGTAGATGTGTATATACAAGATTCTCCACAATACATACACACACACACACACATCCTGAGAGATACATTGTAAAGTGATGGCATTGGTTAACTCTGGAAAAGGAAGATAAGAGAGGGCCAAGGATGAAAGTATGATGGGCAGACAAGCCTTCAGCATGAATAATATGACTTTTTTTTGCAAGTCATATGCTACTTGTACAAATTTATTTATTTATTTTTGAGACGGGGTCTCTTTATAGCCATGGTTTGTCCTGGAACTTACTGTGTAGACCAGGCTGGCCTTGAATTCACAGAGAGCCACCTGCCTCTGCCTCCAGAGTATGAGGACTAAAGGCGTGCACTTCTGTGCTCAGAAAGTGCTTTGTTTTGTTTTTTTCTACATCCCTTTGTAAGAAGCGGATGTAGCCAATCCAAGTACTGACTGGGTCTGACCCTTCTCAGCTTTGAAGATAGGCATGTTCAGGACGATATGGCCATAGACTAGACTAGTTGTACAAATTTAAATCAATAATTTAAAAAACCTTTAGAGAATGATAATAGGAAGTCAAATTTAAAATGAAGTTAAATCATTTTGATCAGCCACTTGGTACCTTTTGTGGTGACTTCTCACAATTTCCACCCAATAATGTCAATTTTTTTCCCCAAAGATTAGGTACACATGAGTTAATGCTCTGGTCAGCATTATAAAACCCATTGATCATGAAGCATAAAACAGTATGACATGTGCCTACATGTACAGTCCCTGTGCAGTCTGCCTGAACTTAGCTTCCCCATTGTGTGACCTCTCTGCTTCAGTTTCCTAATGTATATCAGGAGTACCTGTCTCATATAGGTTGTTGTTAAGCTTAAACACGTTGTTTCTACAGTGTTTAGACCAGTACTTGACACATAGTAAGAGCTTTATAAGGTTAGAGATTGTTGTCACTGCTGTCATTACACCCCCAGCATCTTGGTGCTTAGAGGACACTATGACAGGTCATCATATCTATTTAAACTTTGTTGTATTCATGGGTGCATGTGTATACTCCTGCATATATCCATGGGTTTATGAAAGCAAGTACTGACACGTTTTAACTAAAGCTTTATTATATTAGTCTTTACTTTTATAGCCTTTTTTATGCCCCAGCTCATATTTTAGAAATGTCTCATGATGCCATTAAATAAGATGACTATTTGAAATAGAAAAACAGATGTATCTGGTCTTAAGTATTTGGAATGCAGGGGACACCTGACATATTCAGAAGCGAATGATGAATTGCTTCTTGGGGCTGCATGGGCTTTGACACCCGAGGAGGATTGTCAGCCTGATGTGATAACCTGTGCTAACAATTTAGGTTGCTTCTCTCCAGAGCCAGTTTGCAGATAGCCGTCAGATGTCACTGTGGGAAAGATGGGTTCTGGTTCTTGGTAGCAAAGTAGGATGTTCCATAGAAAGCACACTGGTCATTAATGGGTATTTCCTCCTCCACCTCTCACCGACTTTCCAGATGTTTCACAAGACAGAGGAGTTCTTTCCCAAGAAGACTGAGAGTGATGTGGATGACATGGACACATCAGACACGCAGTGGGGCTGGTTCTACCTGGCAGAGTGTGGAAAGTGGCACATGTTTCAGGTACCCTGCCCTGAGCTTCACAGGCAAAGGCTCACTGGTGCATAGAGTCATGCACATGGAGCACTGGAAAGATCCAGCCCTGATGGAAACCAGAGTAGCTAGAAGTCTGTTTCCTCCCCGACAATAACCTCTTAGAAGCAGTGGTGAGCTTAGACACGGGCCTGGGTGACGGACTCTGGCGCAGACAAGCATGTCCAGGCTTGATCTGGTGGACGCGGGTGGGAAGAGCTCTGGGTGTCATGTTTGGTGCTTTATGGGTACTGTGTGTCCTTACAACAGCTCTGAAGCAGATGGCACTGCTCCGTCTTCTGTCAAAGGTCGGGGAACTCAGGAAAGTTCACTTGCTTGGTTCAAGCTACAGAGAGAGTTTAGCTGAGGTTTGAACCCCGACACAAGGACTTGTAGTTTGGGGATTTTCTTTTTCTCCCGTTGTATGTTTACCAGGCTGGTAAAAGGTTTACTGTGAGCCACTTAGTGTAATCATTCGATAATTTGTGAAACTTGTGATAATATGTAGACGGCTGCGACAGAGACCATCAGTAACAGTAGCTGTTTTCCCCCTGGACGCCATTAAATCCTTTTCCACGTGCAGGCTTGGTTGTGCTCCCTGTGTGTGGGGGAGGTAGAGCAGGAGGCAGTAGGCATCCTTCAGTCCTCTGTTCTCTGTCACTGTGACCTCAGCTCCACTTCTGTGGCCAACCGATTACTGTGAACAGCTGGTAAATGCAACTTTCTGGTTTGTCTTAAAGCCGGATACCAACATTCAATGTTCAGTTAGCAGTGAAGATATCGAAAAAAGCTTCAAAACAAACCCTTGTGGCTCCATTTCCTTTACTACTTCTAAATTCAGCTACAAGATAGACTTTGCAGGTATGTTTCCCCTCCTAGTTGTGTGTTTCTAGAATATTCCTAGACTATCGGCGCAGTGCAGTCTGCAGCTCAGGATTAGCCACCATGTCTTGAAGCATGAAGTAAATCCTCCTGTTCTATGACAGGTCACTCTGTAAAACTGAACTGTTAGACTCTAGAGCAGCACTGCCGTGTATAAAGCATGTTTCTGTGTTCATGTGTGTTAACATGCGTGGTGTTGGCCGTGTGTTTCGAGTTCATGTAAAGCTCTTTATAGCTCTTGTTTTCGTGTTTTGATTTTTGAAATGAGGTCTCCTTGTATTACTGGGCTGGTCTTGAACGCACAATTCTCCTGCCTTGGCCTCCAGAGCAGCTGGGATTGCAGGCCTGTACTGCTGTGCCTAACTTAACAGTGCTTATTTTCCTCAGCACCCCATCCCCAGACACTGCTTGGAATTGGGAACCTTTTTATCTTAAACATCAATCTGATATTAAATGAGAAAGTCACTGGTAGCTGGTGGTTGTTTCAAGACCAAAGTGAAGCCAGATTGTCCTTCCTGTTGGTCGTGTGCTTGGATGGTTGCCTTGTCAATGATTGCTGCTTCTGAGACTTCTTCATTTCACTGGCTCTTTCATAGATGAGCCCAGCTCATGCGCAGATCAGCTTCAGTTTAGACCCCTGCCTCTTTGGATTTCACCCACCGTGTGGGTAGGTAGGGTCATGCTATCAGGTGTGTCTTTTGTGAAGCAAAAGTCCGTAAATTTTGTGAAGTCGGTAAATTTCAGGCTGCCTTCACCTACCGTCTTATGACTTTGAGGCAAAGGAGATTTGAAGGGGGCAGCTTCTTAGTAACCACTCATTTCGTCACTCTGTACTTTGGTCTCTAGCTGCTCTCCAGTTGCTGAGTAGTGTCTTTCTGACCGTGGTGGTGCTGGTGTGCTGAGGAGGAGTGTAAGTCTGAAATGCTTTCCCAGGAGTGGTAGGGTTTGTCAAGGATGGTATGGACATCGCTAAGAAATACCATCCTACCAAACTTGGTTTTCTTGCAATTGCTGATTATCAAGAAGGATTCAAAGAATAGATGAATAAGTTAAATGTGAAAAGAATCTTATTCTTACTTCCAATTAATCCCGACTTTAAAAAATAACATTAGGCAAGCAGACTTCCATAAGGGGAGCTGACCTTGATGTTCTGTTCCAGCAGAAGGTGTTTGGCAGATGTTACTGGTGTTCTGTGCTTGTGTTGTATGCAGTCAGTTTGGAGGCAGAACACATGCAGGCTTGAGGCTTTGTAAAAGGGATGCTATTTGTTGAAGTGTGTGGTAGGTAATTCAGCAGGTCACTTCTGACTAAGAATATTCACAAGGGAACTGTACTCTCTGGAAGATTCCTGTGAGGAAAAAAAGATTAATCCAAAATGTTTTTGTAGATGCTCAGAGCGTAGTTCTCTTGGTAGAGTGCTTGCCTAGTATACCTGAAACCCCAGCACAGCATAAACCAGGTGTGGTGGTGCATGCCTGTAATCCCAACACCCAGGATGTGGAGATAGGAGGATCACAAATTCAAGGCCAGTCTCAGCTACATAATGTGTTCAGGCCATTCTTGCCTACATGA